CTCCCTCCCTCCCTCCTACCCTCCCTCCTACCCTCACTCCTACCCTCGCTCCCTCCCTCGCTCCCTCCCTCCCTCCCTCCCTCCCTCCATCCATCCATCCATCCATCCATCCATCCATCCGTCTGTCCCTCCATCCATTTGTCCATCTGATCCATCTGGAAGATACCCCCTTTAGCCATCCATCCGTCCCGTCCATCCGTCCATCCATCCATCCATCCTCCTTTCGTTCATCCATTCGTCCGTCCGTCTGGACATCTTATCTATCTCTAGGGATAGAGCATTGTCACGTATATTGCTGACAAGCCATCCATCCATTTATCCATTTGTCCGTGCATCCATCCATTTATCCATTTGTCCGTGCATCCATCCATTTATCCATTTGTCCGTGCATCCATCCATCCATCCACTTTCGTATACCATGTTTTAGATTTTCAGCACACCAGCCCCTGTTCCACTCGGATGAGTAGATCCAGAAGCGGAGCAGCTTTACCTCTATTGCAGACAATGAAGCACACTTGAGATGAGCATACTGTGTGTGTGGAGGGTACACCAGTGTCATATATGTTGCCCACAAGCATGATAGGCAACACCGATCCCCATTTCAAAGATCAAGGTCCATTGGTCCATGCCACGGACCGTGGCAACATGACGGGTATCCATATCATCCTCTTCGCCAAGTTCACTTGAACTGCAATCTGAACATTGCAAAGATTGAATCTTTATGACCAGCTGCCATGGTGTCTGCAATCTGAGTGATTAAGAGATGGAATCTTTGGGGTCAGCTTCCGTGCGAACCTGAAGATTACTTGCATGGCCGGGATAAACCTGGCTCGGCTGGGGGGGCAAGAGTTCTCTCGCGTTACCTTGAACTGCAATCTGAATGTTTCAAAGATCGAATCGTCAAGGCCAACTGCCATGCTGCCTGCAATCTGAGTGATTAAAAGATGGAATCTTTGGGGTCAGCTCCCAAAGATACCCAAAGATTACTTGCACGGCTGGGATAAACCTGGCTCGGCTGGGGGGCAAGAGTTCTCTTCTCCAAGTTCACTTGAACTGATAGTGTGAACATTTCAAAAATCGAATCTTTAGGGCCAACTTGTCTGCAATCTGAGCGATTAAAAGATGGAATCTTTGGGATCAGCTCCCATAAATACCAAAAGATTCACTTGAACTGCAGTGTGAGCGCTTTAAAAACCGAATCTCTAGGGCCAACTGCCATGCTGTCTGCAATCTGAGTGATCAAAAGATGGAATCTTTGGGGTCAGCTACTTGCATGGCTGGGATAAGCCTGGCTCAGCCGGGGGACCAAGACCATGCTACTAGTTAACAAACATGGAAGCGCACCTGTACCCACTGCTTATTCTGCTGCTTCTGGAAGTGGGACCCAATCACATACATCGGAATGAAAAGCAGGACATTTTATAGTCGATTCCATTGCAAATCACTCTGTTATCTCATCGTGTTTCTCTTCGGTTGCCATTCCAGGCCTGGGAAGCAGACCTTTCAGTTGCCCAGACCTTTTAGCTGCCCTATGTTCCCTTTGGGACCCCGTTTTCAGGTAAAGGTCCTCTCTTGTTAGGCTCTGTTGCTGCCTGCAATTCATTCCTAACCTGGAATGCAACCCAGACCTTGTGATTCGCAGTCTCCGGTAGCCAGCAACCTCAGAAGCCAGCAACCATTACCCACTGCCGCCCCGCCCATACTGTTAGGCCTGCTGGTCTGCTCGACTCTGCCGTGTTCGAGCTCGTACCTGCGCCAGAAAGCTATGCACAACTTACACTTGAAGCCCTTACGCTCAACAGTTTTGCAAGCTGACAGGGGTCCTTAGTTTGTGCTTATTGAGGGGCAACAAATCAAGTCGCATTGTTCAAGCCAGGTCCCGCTGATTATCTTTCCCACTGTGACAGCCTGAAGCAGAAGATTGAATCCAAACCCAAGAGGCCCGAAGAGGGTAAAACACTTGAAGTCTTAGGCTCATCAGTTTTACAAGCTGGCAGGGGTCCCTAGTTTGAGCTTATTGAGGCCAACAAGTCAAGCCGCGTTGCTCACAACTTCACGACTGATCCCACTGATTATCTTTCTCACTGTGACGGCCTGAAGCAGAAGAGAGAGCTTGAATCCAACTCCAAGAGGCTAAAACGGGCACGAGCATACCAGAAGCACGACTTTGGCCATCCTGTCCAAGTCCCCTAGTCACACTCCTCCTCTCTCTCTCTCTCTCTCTCTCTCTCTCTCTCTCTCTCTCTCTCTCTCTCTCTCTCTCTCTCTCTCTCTCTCTCTCTCTCTCTTTTACACATGCACACACACACACACACACACACACACGCACACACACACACACACACACACACACACACACAGTTGCGAGAGTGCAAAGAGTCAGGGCAATGCAATACTTTCATGTCACCAGAAGTTGTGCGGTTCTTCTCAGAGACAGCATTCGTGTAGCTTGCCGTCATTGGTGCCTTCAACCCATCCCTCCTTGCCAGCATAAATTGGTTTCTTTGGAAGCAGGACATCTTCTGCAGAATGAGAGTCTCCGAGCATCACCCAGCTGGCGCACACAGTGTCACACACACACACACACACACACACACACACACACACACACAGAGGGTTCAACCTCCGGGCTCCGGGTGAGTTCGGTGGAAGTTCAACGAAACAGTCTGGCACAGTCGTGCATTTTTGTGGAGTTGTGTGTATCGTGACCATGACACACACACACACACACACACACACACACACACACACACACACACACACAACCTGATGATGAGTTGGTTAAAGTCCGATGAAACGGTCTGGCACAGTCATGGTTCCTTTTGTGGAATTAGCGAACATGACAACACATATGGGGTTGCTAGTGTGCAAAGAGTCGGGGAAGTCGTGTGGTTGGTTTAGTTTCACTGGAACGAAGTCGTGCGGTGCTTGTCAGAGACAGTCTTCATGTAGCCTGCGGTCATTAGTGCCTTGAGCTCGTCCCTCCTTGCCAGCGTAAATTGGTTCGGCTTCTTTGGAGGCGGAAGTTCTTCCGCAGAATATGCATCTCCGAGCACCCCCCGGCTGGCTTCAATCAACGCTTCTCTCTCCTTCTTTTGTCGTTCGTTGGCAGACATCTCCCTCAAGTACTTTAGAAGAGCAGCACAATACTCTGCCTTCTTTATTTCCAGAAACTTGTCAATACACTTTGACTTGACGTCATCAGGAACAACCATGACCTCGGCATACTCTGGCCCAACCAACAAGTCCGGAGCTTGGCGGGCCATTGCCTTGTCTCTGTTTTTCCTCAGTCCAGAGCCAGGTGTAGCACGTGAGGGGAGGGGACCGCTTCCGCCTTCATCTGCCCCTCTTTCTCCTCCTCCTCCTCCTCCTCCTCCAGGTGGCCCATGCAGCTCGCTCCCTGCGATAGATTGCACACCGCTTATCCTCCTTAATGGCAGTCGATCTTTCTGCAATTTGCCATCGCCATCTCCCTGGCCATAGCTGGTGGCCGGTATCAGCAGGGCTGACTTTCTTCTTCCTGGGGGCCCTTCTCCGGCCCCTGCCCCGGCCATCGCCTTCTTCTGTCTGTCCTCCATGCCACTGCCGCTTGGAACAGAGGACGACGGGTCACTCTCTCTTCCAGATGCAGCCGGTTTCCCGGACGGCTTTTCCCTTTGTCCTTCTTGCGTCTTCCCACCTGATTGCACCTGCCCAGATCCTGCCGACCTCTCTGCTGTTGACCTGTGCTGTTCTGCTTCTTTCGCCTCTCTCCCTTGCTGTTGCTGTTGTTGTTGAGAGGGAGAGGAGAGTAATAAGCTGTGTTGGTTCTCTTTTGTGGCCGTCACGGATGGTCTGTGCAGAGGAGCAGCAGCAGCAGGAGGAGGAGGAGCGCTCCTCTCCGCTCTGCCATCGCTCGGGTTGACAGGCTGGGAAGAGACGCCAGCAGCTTGCACCACGTCGGGCGTCAGCGGCTTTGTCCTCAGCAAAGCCGACGCCTTCTTGCCGACCTTGTCTGCAGCCATCGATCTCTTCTTCCTCTTGCCCCCCGCCTTGTGCTTGTAGTGCTTAGCGAATTGCTCCTCTGCCCTTTCCCATTGCAGCAAGATCAGCGTCTTCTTGGCCTTCATCGTCTGCGCACGTCTCCTGATGAACTGCTGGATGGCCGCCATGCGCTTTTGGTATTCCTGCAAGGACTGAAGGAGAGTGAAGGGGGCTTTGATGTCCAGGAGGAAGGCCAGGATGAGGGAGGCGGCCTGCTGTCTTCTGGGGACGAAAGTGCGTCCCAGCCAGCTCCTCACTGCTCTCTGTATCGCAGTGGCACTTTCCTGAACCACCTGCTCTCGTCTCTTCACCCTCCATCGCCGGAACCATCTCTGAATCTTCGTGGCTGCCACTCGGCGCGCTTTGTCCACCTTCTCTCTCTCCCTCTCCTCCTTCACGTACTCTGCCAGCGCCTGGAACCTGCTTGCGAGAGCAATCAACACCATCCACCATCTCTTTACCACCTGCTGAAACTGCACCTCTTGTTGAGGATTCGCCCTCAACCCCCCATTCCTCAGGATCTCCTGATACTGCTCTCTCATCTTCTGCTCGTTTTTCCGCACCGAATAACTCCGCGTGATGACAGACTCCCATCTATTCTTCCTCTCTCGGATCCTCTGATTCCTGGGGGGCATTGGATGCAAGATCGACGGCTGGGGAGCTTGCTTGGCGGCGCGCTTGGAGCGTGCCACCACCACTCTGTTGTGGACCCTCCTCTTGCTTTCCTCCTTCGCCTGCCGTGCGTACTCCCGGACTCTGCTAATCAGCCGCTCTCTCTCCCTATCATTCCGCATGTAGAACTGAATCTTCCCGCGGACGTCCTTGGCGGCGTGGAGGGTTCGTGCGGACATCAGGCTTTCTCTCAGGACAGAGCTCCTGGCGTGCTTCTGGGCTTGACTTCCAGGCACGGCGTGGGGCCTCCCCCCGCTCTCTCCCCCTTCCCCCGCCGCCGCTCCCCCCATCTCCTCCGCCTGACCGAAAGCGGAGGCGGAGGATGAGAGAAAGCCGCCGTCCCACGGGGAGGAGGACACCGCGCCGCCGCCGCCGCCGCCGGATCTTCCTCCCGGGCTAGGCAAGCGTTGCCCGCTCCTCGTGCTTCGCAGTCGGGATTGCGATCGACTCAACCCCATCTTGCCCCCCCTCTGGTGGTATCCCGACGCTTCTCCCGTCTCTACGTATATGGACTCCATCTTCACCTGCTTCCATTCTCCCTTCGAGTTCATCACCAACACGAGGTTGCTGTCCACTGCGGGCTCGTCATCTCCTGCGTGGTGCTTCAGCTGCTCCTCCACCTTGGGATGAGGAGGGGCAGACCAAAGCCTCTGCCGTCGGTCGAACCTGGAAAGCATACGCGGAGGCAGGATGTCAACCCCCAGCGAGGTCCAAACGTCTCTCTCTCTCCGTCTTCCTCGCCTTCGACGAGGAGGGATGTCAAAGTCAAATCCGCCATCGCCGCCTCCTGCTCCTCCTCCTCCTCCTCTCCCTCGAGGCACACCATCGGCGGTCAGAGGAGACGTAGTCGAAGTGGTAATTTCAGGGAAGATAGTGGGGGGGTCGTTTACGGAGGTGGGCAAGGTCGGCACAAGGGAGGGATGGGAGAAGGAGGAGGTGGAGGCGGAGGCGGGGGGATTCTTCCTGAGCCCCGTCGTCACCAGAGCGCGCACATGGCCGGGTGGTTGCCTGGTCGGGATCTCGTCGACCTCTGCTCCCGGGGGCGCCTGGCCATCATGCCAGGCGTCCGAGGACGTCCATGGTCGGGTTGCCTCGTCCCGACCCCGACCTCTGCTGCCGCGGCGTGCGACCTGCTCCGATCCCATCGGTATGCAGGTCGAGGTCGGGGGAACCTCCTTGTCCTTCTTAAACACGTTAAGAGATGCGAGAGCTTGGTCTAATCTGTGCCCGAAGGGTTCGCTCACTATGTTACTTAATAAGGACAAGGATGAGGAGGTCCCGACCTGCTTATCCCTACGCAGCACGACGCCCTCGTCTCTGCTGACGATCACATCATTATCCGCTGATCCGAAAGTCAACCGTTGGTTCAAAACTTCGTCATCCAGCAGCCACTCGGCCGCAGTTTGCTCCCAAAACCCCTCCTTCACTCTCCTATCCATCATGTATCTGGGCTTCTTCTTGTCCATAACGTCGTACCTAGCCGGCCTGGCAGCCTTGCGCGCCGGACCGGGGCTCTTGTTTCGTCCCGCCACATTTGGGCGCGCGGGGGCGGTCGCTCGAACAGGAGGGGAGGATGGGGAGGCGGGGGAGGAGGCGGAGGAGGCGGAGGCGGGGGAGGAGGGAGGAGGGTGATCTCTCTGACCTTCCCAGACCGCGATCGGGGCAGTCCTGGTTGCCTTGCTATCACCGCCTGGCTCCCAATTACCCCCAACACCCCCTCCACTTCCTCCCCCCCCTCCGCCTACTCCCACGCCTGGCAAGTCTTTCAAGAATTGGCTGGCCCAAGGCAGGCCAGCCGAGCGACTCCTCTCTCTTGACGTTCCCGCTTGCCCCCCTTCCTTGGCCATCCTCATCATCATCCTTACACTCTTTTCTCGTGGCTGCAGCTTTTCTCGTGGCTGCAGCTTGTGCGATAACGGCAGATGGCTCCAAGGGGGAGGGGGAGGAGGAGGACGGGGAGGAGAGACCGTGGCCGGACGAGGGGTCTCGGGAGGGAGGTGGTAATCCGCGAAACGTCTCCCAAGAACCGAGAATGAAACATCCTTCTTCTTAACAGGGGAACCCTTCATGATGACGTCTCGAAAAAATCTGGATAGGGGTGTCTCCCTGCAAAGTTCAACGACCGGGAACAGAGCCCTGAGTTAAAAAAAAAAAAAAAGCAATGATCGGTATCGGGAGCAACAGACGAGCACGCAATCTTCTTGACCTTTCCCGGACCCCCTTTTTTTTCTTTTTCTCCTCCTCCTCCTCTTCCTGCTTGTCGCTATTCCTCTTCCTCTGCTTCTTCTGCTTCTGCTTCTTCTCCTCCTGCTTGTCACTCTTCTTCTTGTCCTTCTTCTTCTTCTTCTTCTTCTTCTTCTTCTTCTCCTCCTCCTCCTCCTCCTCGTGGCAACAAACTGCGTCAAACTAAAAGCTTTAACGACAAGCAGCAGCAGCAGCAACAGAAGAAGAAGAAGGAGAGGAAGAAGAAGAAGAAGAAGAAGAAGAAGAAGGTCCAGTTCTTCGTCTTCTTCTTCTTGTCCTGTACTTGCCGCGAAAGGCTTTAACGACAAATTAGGACGAGGAGGAGGAGGAAGAGAGAAGAGGAACAACAACAACAACAACAACAACAACAACAAGAAGACGGAGTTCGGGACTTAATCAGTTCCTCCGAGATCCAGTCCCCCCAAGTCCAATGGAACTCGAGCCTAACACTTGTTGTCTCTTCCAACTCGGGTCATTCAATAACCGTCGTCTGCAACCGTCGCCGGCCCCCCAAAGAAAAAAAGACACCTCCTAGCCAAGTTCTCTTCGCTTCTGACGCGCGCCTTCCTCCTCCTCCTCCTCCTCCTGCTAATGCTACGGTCTTCCCCCGAACACAAGGCATCCTAATCCTGAATGTATACAAGGTATAAGTCAGGCAATAGAGTAACGTTGAGGATGCGTTGCGCGCGGGGAGGACGACCCATCGCCCTCCGCCCTCCACCCGTCTCCCTCCTCCCCGCGTTCCTCCTCCTCCCCGCGTTCCTCCTCCCCGCGTTCCTCCTCCTCCCCCTCCGCCTCGTCTAGCTACTCCTTGCCTCTCCTCCTCCTGCTGTCCCTTCTCCTCTTACTACACCTCCTCCTCCCCTTCTTCCTGTGCCTCAGTGTCCTCGTCCTCGTCCTCTTCCTCCTCCTCCTCCTCCTCCTTCTTGTCTGCCGGCAGACAAGAAGGAGGAGGGTTACATAGGAAATAGTATCAGGACATACACTAGGACATTTTCGACTGAACTGTGGGCGTGATTGCCGTCAAATACGTCAAGGTATGGTGGTCATTCCGGTAAGATACATCCAGGAAAGCGCTCCCGTGAGTATGGCCTCTACAGACAACGAAAGCTGCGATAAAAGACTGGAGAGGATTTCATTTCGATTTACCTCGTTCCGCGCTGAACTCCCACTCTGTCTCTCTCTCTCTCTCTCTCTCTCTCTCTCTCTCTCTCTCTCTCTCTCTCTCTCTCTCTCTCTCTCTCTCTCTCTCTCTCTCTCTCTC